CTACGATGACACAACGATCGTTGCCGACGACGCCGGCGATGACGCCGTCGCAATCGGGCCTAACGCAAATATCGCGGCTACAGCAAGGATTCCGACGCGATTCTCCCGATCGCGTTAGTCTCACTAAGAAACATATGGATCACGATGGACAGGTGAAAAATAAAGTTTTTAATGACGTAAATTTTAAATTAAAGTTCTCAACAAATTTGTCTGAAGCGTCACCATCAATTGGGTGGAACTGGAGTTCATAGGATACGCTTTTTGATGTTTTCAAAACTTTCCAGTCTTCTGGATATGCTTCTTATTGTCTGGCTACCCTAAGATTTCCGAAAGAGCGCATCATTTCATCTACTCAGATTTTAAGAAAAACTTTTGAAAGCTCCACTTCCTTCATCAATTTCTGATAAGATTACCGGGCTTTAGGTAACGTCAAACCCTCGGGTGATTCCCTTGCTATTTAATGTATCATTTAAATACATAAGTCTGAAATCTCGTCAAAAATTCTCAAGATCCCATCTCAATTTCATATTTTTACACCGACATTATTCTGAACATCAGCATTAACATTATCTGCTATACATCTACATTCTTTGAAAACTTTCTTCGAGTTTCTTGAGAACATTCTATTAAAGAGAAAAACCAGATACACCTAAACATCTGTTTTCGTGAAAATTATTCTGTCCTTAATTATGCGGACAAATTCCCCATACAACTTCTTGCTTTCAATCTCGACTATCACCTTAACTCTCTTACTTCAGAAGATTCCTCAGATTCGATCTTTTTCGAAATTTCTAAGTTCTTTTTCTTGTTATGTGTAATTCTTCCTTACTAATTGCTAATCCAAAATCCGTGAAAATTGGAAGTAGGGCAATCTTAGAGTTTGATTGACACTGATTATCATTAGCAAAACTTGTGAACTTCAATACTTTTTTTTGCAGTATTGTGATTTCTTACATAGAGCATCAGATTAATACCCCAGGAATTTCTAGCCCCGAACCGTCTGGTCTCCTCAAAC